AAAGCAAGGACCCTAGTTGCAGACTATTTTTGCTTATCCTCCCATTAAGTTTAAATGGAATTAGATCATGATCACTCGGACCAAGGCTGTCCTCTACTGCCAGTTCTTCTAGGAGATCCTTGCTACTCAAAAATATTAAGTCTAAAATGGCACCACCTCTTGTTGGTTTGATGACTATTCAGCAATGAAATCTGACAGCTATCACATCCAGGAATATCTGGGACCTATCATTACTAGTAGCATTTGTCCTCAAATATATATTTGGGAAACCGAAGTCTCCCATAATCACACAATTCCCAGTAGTATTTATTTTGTTAAAAATATTTAAGAGGTCTCTATCCATATCCAAATTGGATCCTAAGGGCAGTTAGCAGACCCCAACCAACATCCCAGTGGAACCTCTGTTGGCTTCCCCTCCCCAAATGTGATTTTGACTCAGATTCCATTTTATCCATACCATCACTTCTAACTTCTTTACAGTCTACCTCATCATTAACGTACAATGCTACTCCACCACCTTTATGTTTATTTCTGTCTTTCCCAAACAGCACATACCCTTCACTATCTGAATTCCAATCATGACTACTGTTCCACCAGGTTTCCGTTATCCCTAGAGTATCTGGTTTCACTTCCTCAACCAACAGTTGTAGTCCCTCCATTTTGTTACCCAGGCTCCTTCCGCTGGGGTACAGACATCTTAGTTGTTTCTGCTTGACTTTATCCAGATTCCTCACCCGATTAAGTACAGTCATTCTACTGCCAGTACCACATGCATATTAGTGCCATTGCTACTGGCACTCTTGTCTCTTGACAGCCGTTCTCCTACCCTCCTTTCTCCATTACTGTATCCTCTTTTACTTGATTTTCCTCCCGCTCAGTATCAGAATCATGAATGGAGATTACATGAGCATCTCCCAATTGTCTCCCCCAAGTTCCTGGTTTAAAACTCTTTTAGTCAGTTGTGCCAACCTCTACCCCAGAAGTCTATTTCCTTCCCTACTGGTGAGTCCATCCTATGAGAACAGTCCTCTGTCCATGAATGCCTCTCAGTGGCTGAACATCCCAAAGCCCTCCTTATAGCACCACTGCCTGAGCCATCTGTTGATCATCATAATCTTCTCTCACCTTCATTCTCCTCCTCTAGGGACACGTCAAATCCCACTGAAGATCAACTAAGCCTCTGTTTCTTTAAGTGTCTTCCCCAGCCTGGTGTAGTCTCCCTGGATGCATTCCAGCGAGAACCTAGCAGTTTCATTTGTTCCTGCATGAAGGACAACCAGTGGATTCCTTCCTGCTCTGATTAGGATCTTCAGTCTCAGGTCCATATCCTGTATTTTCACTCCCAGCAGACAGAACACACTTCTGTTCTCTGGATCACCTCCAGTGACAGGCCCATCTGTTCTTCTTAGTAAGGAGTCCCCAACCACATAGACCTGCCTCTTCCTGGTGTTGGTGCAATTCTCCAGCCTTCCCCCTCCTGTTTTTTCTGGCTGCAAATCCTCTTGTCTTCTGTTCTCCCTTGCAATCTTTTGAGAGCCATTTTCTATCCTCTGATCTCTGGCTATCTGCATTGACTCTTACCCTCTTCTTGTAGGACTAGCTACTCTTTTCTTCCTTGCCCTCCTGCCTTCTGTTACTGCCTGCTGGGCCCCTTCATTTTCCAACTCAGCAAACCTGTTACTGAGCTTTATTTCTCCTTCACTAGCTGTTTTTTTCCTCTGCCTGGTTCTCATAGTCACAGGCTTCCACAGGCCACTTTCCTCATCTATCAGTCTATCCTCACAGTTCTTCAGTCCAGTTAGCATCTGCAAATTTTGACTTTTCCCTTCAGCCCCCTCTCACCTCCCCTCCATCCTCTGCTCAAATCCCCTTCAAAACACATCTATAGTTTCTATCATCATCTCCAAACTGGGATCTTCTCTTTCATCAGCTCTATCAGATGGCACTTTATACAAATAAAGATCTTTTGGGATATCTGCTCCAGGCAGCTTCCACATCCAGTTATCTTCATTGTCTCTTCCATTCCTTCAGTCACCACCAGTGCTGCCTCTGTAGCTATCCTAGCCTTCCTCCTAAGCTCCTGTTGGGGTAGGGTGGCGGTGGTGGCAGGAGAAGAGAACATCACTTACTCCCACCCCCAAACTCCTCTTACAAACTCCCATTCGTACTCCCCTATTTTCAGCTCTATTTGCTGACCCCTGTGCTGCTGCCTGGCTTCCGGGCTGCCTTTAAAGCCACCCCACCCCGCAACTCAGGAAAGCCCTGCCCACTAATCAGGGCTCTGCTGTGATTAAAGGCTCTGCTTCCCTCAAAGTGCACTACCCCACCAGCCTCTGCAAACTGAAAAACAAACAAAAAAAACAAAACAAGCCCCAAGCAAGCACAGTCAAGAACTCACTCACTGCCCCTAAGGAACAGAGGCTTGCCTTCCTTCTCCTCCAACAGCTCCCCATTCAAATTCCCTTATTTTCAGCTATTTGCTGGCTCCTTGACAGATGAATACATGACCCCGTTTCCCAGTTTAACTTAACATGCCTTTTGCAGAAAGGCAAGTTAAAGATCCCCACCTTCATACCTAGCTTATATAAAAACACACATACACGTAGGTGAAGGAGATTCTCAGGTCATGTAATCTTTGTGTCTGCTCTGTGCTACTTCCAAGTCACAGCCCATAGGCTATTCCATTGCTACAATAGTCCCCAGGGGCCCATGTAGCCAAATGTAAATTAAAACATCCCTAAAAACGCTATCAATTATGCCAGGGAGCAGGCAGTTGTCTGGACGGCTGCAGAACACAGTCAATCACAAAGATGACAAAGCCACCTCTGCTGCCACCACTGTCCCTCTCCCACATTCCTGTGCTGAGCACAACTTGGACAGGATAGAAAATTCAGACCTACAAGCAGCTTTGCACAGAAAGAAAATGTCATTTAGACAGTCACTTCCAAAATGGATAATCATTTTAGAAGTAACCCAAACCACCTCCACTCCTCTTTCATCTCCACCTCAATTCATTAAAAGCTAGACATAGGGCCAGCTCTCCATCTGGCATAAATCAGTGTTGCTTCACGGACTTCAACTGGTCTATAACGTACAGTGCTACAGTTAACAAGCCACATCCCATTAATTCATTGGGCACATCTAACCACCATGAAGTCAGATTATCCCCCATTTCCACTCTAATCATAAGAGATCAGCCCCATCAGTCTTTTATTCCATAGATACATACATTATACCTTAGTAAGCGACAGTTATGGGAGCGCAGGTCTTCTGCAACTCAGGCACAACAGATCTCAAGTTGGGAGATCAGCCATTAGCCACTTTTGAAAGTTTCATTTATAGCCCTGACAATGGACCACACCTTAACATAGCTGTAATCTGGAGCTCAGTTAACAACCGATGAAATCAAGGCAGAACCTCAAACCCAAGATCAGACCTTACAGCTCTGTAAACCTCATGAGTTGCGAAGAGAGACTTCTGGAGAAGGGCCGCTTCCCTACACAGCAGATTACTGGCTAAGGATCTTTCTGGCTGTGGAAGTCTTCCAGCCAGCAACAAACCCAGTGGTGCAAGTACCATTCCCCAGAACCCAGATACCTGACTACAGTTGTATGCACAAGGAAATTCCTCATCCCCAGGTACAGAACATATTCCCCACTGCTGGCAGCACAAAACCCTATGGCTATTTAACACTGACTGCGTAACTACAATTCAGAGATAGGAGAATTAGGGAAAGGGTTGTGGCAAAGACAAGAGTAATGAGACCAATGCAAAAAGTGGGAGCTCACAAACATCAGCTGTTCACCATGGAGTTGGGTTCTCTTCTTTTCCCATCCACCCCTCCCTACTGCTGGGGCCAAATATTTTCCTGAATACATTAGTCTGCACAAAATCAGCATTGGTGACCTTATTTAACAGTCAAACCATTCTCATTAGAGCATGTCAGAGAAACTACAGAGATCTATTTTGACCATTTTGTAACTGAAGAAGCAGCTTAATCCATTTAGGAATTCTAGAAAACAGATTACAATTTTAAAACAGACTGAAGTGTCACATAGAAGTTATCACAATGAATTGAAATGGCTGAATTTATGCAATGCAAAATTGAGAATTAATCCTTAACTATAATAGTTCAAGATGACACTGCTAGGATGTTTCTAAGCTAAAAGAGAGAAACAGACGTAAATTTCAAAAGGAAAAAAAAAATCTCTTTTCTGAAATATGCTGGGTGTTTTAACAAAAAAACAAAAAAACAAAAAAACCTTCTGTGGCCCATCTTAAATCAAGAGCTGTAGTGGATTGCTCAGAGCATTAGTGAGGAGACATATTGTTTCTTACTTTTGGGTTATTGGTTCAAATCCATTACAGCCGCGGTAGGAGAAGTTACTATCTGGAAGCAGTTTTATGGCTTTTGCAAAGCAATCTGGTGATCCCAGTACTGCCCCTGGTGGACAAGTGTTCACACCAAAATAATCATAACTACCATGACTCAAGAGAAGTTAGTGACTGACCAGACTCTGAATCTTAACTACTTTCTGATCCCTACAAGTGCTTGGCAAGAGTCAATATTATCATTTCAGGCGATGTCTATATTTTCATGGTCTATCAACCATCTCTGTCCAAGCCCTGGTCTACACTAGGACTTTAGGTCGAATTTAGCAGCATTAAATCGATGTAAACCTGCACCCGTCCACACAATGAAGCCCTTTATTTCGACTTAAAGGGCTCTTAAAATCGATATCCTTACTCCACCCCTGACAAGTGGATTAGCGCTTAAATCGACGTTGCCGGCTCGAATTTGGGGTACTGTGGACACAATTCGATGGTATTGGCCTCCGGGAGCTATCCCAGAGTGCTCCATTATGACCGCTCTGGACAGCACTCTCAACTCAGTTGCACCGGCCAGGTAGACAGGAAAAGAACCGCAAACTTTTGAATCTCATTTCCTGTTTGGCCAGCGTGGCAAGCTGCAGGTGACCATGCAGAGCTCATCAGCACAGGTGACCATGATGGAGTCCCAGAATCGCAAAAGAGCTCCAGCATGGACCGAACGGGAGGTACGGGATCTGATCGCTGTTTGGGGAGAGGAATCCGTGCTATCAGAACTCCGTTCCAGTTTTCGAAATGCCAAAACCTTTGTGAAAATCTCCCAGGGCATGAAGGACAGAGGCCATAACAGGGACCCGAAGCAGTGCCGCGTGAAACAAGGAGCTGAGGCAAGCCTACCAGAAAACCAGAGAGGCGAACGGCCGCTCTGGGTCAGAGCCCCAAAATGCCGCTTCTATGATGAGCTGCATGCCATTTTAGGGGGTTCAGCCACCACTACCCCAGCCATGTTGTTTGACTCCTTCAATGGAGATGGAGGCAATACGGAAGCAGGTTTTGGGGACGAAGATGATGATGAGGAGGAGGAGGTTGTAGATAGCTCACAGCAAGCAAGCGGAGAAACCGGTTTTCCCGACAGCCAGGAACTGTTTCTCACCCTAGACATGGAGCCAGTACCCCCCGAACTCACCCAAGGCTGCCTCCTGGACCCAGCAGGCGGAGAAGGGACCTCAGGTGAGTGTACCTTTTAAAATACTAGACATGGTTTAAAAGCAAGCATGTGAAAGGATTACTTTGCCCTGGCATTTGCGGTTCTCCTAGATGTAGTCCTAAAGCCTTTGCAAAAGGTTTCTGGGGAGGGCAGCCTTATTGCGTCCTTCATGGTAGGACACTTTACCACTCCAGGCCAGTAACACGTACTCGGGAATCATTGTACAACAAAGCATTGCAGTGTATGTTTGCTGGCATTCAAACAACATCCGTTCTTTATCTCTCTGTGTTATCCTCAGGAGAGTGAGATATAATTCATGGTCACCTGGTTGAAATAGAGTGCTTTTCTTCAGGGGACACTCAGAGGAGCCCATTCCTGCTGGGCTGTTTGCCTGTGGCTAACAGGGAGGGGGGGAAGGTTGAGGGGGTAGTCACACGGTGGGAGGAGGCAAAATGCGACCTTGTAACGAAAGCACATGTGCTATGTATGTAATGTTAACAGCAAGGTTTACCCTGAAAGAGTGTAGCCACTGTTTTATAAAATGTGTCTTTTTAAATACCGCTGTCCCTTTTTTTTTTCTCCACCAGCTGCATGTGTTTCAATGATCACAGGATCTTCTCCTTCCCAGAGGCTAGTGAAGCTTAGAAAGAAAAAAAAACACACTCACGATGAAATGTTCTCCGAGCTCATGCTGTCCTCCCACACTGACAGAGCACAGACGAATGCGTGGAGGCAAATAATGTCAGAGTGCAGGAAAGCACAAAATGACCGGGACGAGAGGTGGCGGGCTGAAGAGAGTAAGTGGAGGGCTGAAGACAGGGCTGAAGCTCAAATGTGGCAGCAGCGTGATGAGAGGAGGCAGGATTCAATGCTGAGGCTGCTGCAGGACCAAACCAGTATGCTCCAGTGTATGGTTGAGCTGCAGCAAAGGCAGCTGGAGCACAGACTGCCACTGCAGCCCCTCTGTAACCAACCGCCCTCCTCCCCAAGTTCCATAACCTCCACACCCAGACGCCCAAGAACGCGGTGGGGGGGCCTCCGGCCAACCAGCCACTCCACCACAGAGGATTGCCCAAAAAAAAGAAGGCTGTCATTCAATAAATTTTAAAGTTGTAAACTTTTAAAGTGCTGTGCTTAAAGTGCTGTGTGGCATTTTCCTTCCCTCCTCCACCACCCCTCCTGGGCTACCTTGGTAGTCATCCCCCTATTTGTGTGATGAATGAATAAAGAATGCATGAATGTGAAGCAACAATGACTTTATTGCCTCTGCAAGCGGTGATTGAAGGGAGGAGGGGCGGGTGGTTAGCTTACAGGGAAGTAGAGTGAACCAAGGGGCGGGGGGTTTCATCAAGGAGAAACAAACAGAACTTTCACACCGTAGCCTGGCCAGTCATGAAACTGGTTTTCAAAGCTTCTCTGATGCGTACCGCGCCCTCCTGTGCTCTTCTAACCGCCCTGGTGTCTGGCTGCGCGTAACCAGCAGCCAGGCGATTTGCCTCAACCTCCCACCCCACCATAAACGTCTCCCCCTTACTCTCACAGATATTGTGGAGCACACAGCAAGCAGTAATAACAGTGGGAATATTGGTTTCGCTGAGGTCTAAGCGAGTCAGTAAACTGCGCCAGCGCGCCTTTAAACGTCCAAATGCACATTCTACCACCATTCTGCACTTGCTCAGCCTGTAGTTGAACAGCTCCTGACTACTGTCCAGGCTGCCTGTGTACGGCTTCATGAGCCATGGCATTAAGGGGTAGGCTGGGTCCCCAAGGATACATATAGGCATTTCAACATCCCCAACACTTATTTTCTGGTCTGGGAATAAAGTCCCTTCCTGCAGCTTTTGAAACAGACCAGAGTTCCTGAAGATGCGAGCATCATGCACCTTTCCCGGCCATCCCACGTTGATGTTGGTGAAACGTCCCTTGTGATCCACCAGAGCTTGCAGCACTATCGAAAAGTACCCCTTGCGGTTTATGTACTCGGCGGCTTGGTGCTCCGGTGCCAAGATAGGGATATGGGTTCCGTCTATAGCCCCACCACAGTTAGGGAATCCCATTGCAGCAAAGCCATCCACTATGACCTGCACATTTCCCAGGGTCACTACCCTTGATATCAGCAGATCTTTGATTGCGTGGGTTACTTGCATCACAGCAGCCCCCACAGTAGATTTGTCCACTCCCAATTGATTCCCAACTGACTGGTAGCTGTCTGGCGTTGCAAGCTTCCACAGGGCTATCGCCACTCGCTTCTCAACTGTGAGGGCTGCTCTCATCTTGGTATTCATGCGCCTCAGGGCAGGGGAAAGCAAGTCACAAAGTTCCATGAAAGTGCCCTTACGCATGCGAAAGTTTCGCAGCCACTGGGAATCGTCCCAGACCTGCAACACTATGCGGTCCCACCAGTCTGTGCTTGTTTCCCGAGCCCAGAATCGGCGTTCCACAGCATGAACCTGCCCCATTAGCACCATGATGCATGCATTGTCAGGGCCCATGCTTTCAGAGAAATCTGTGTCCATGTCCTGATCGCTCACGTGACCGCGCTGACGTCACCTCCTCGCCCGGTATCGCTTTGCCAGGTTCTGGTGCTGCATATACTGCTGGATAATGCGTGTGGTGTTTAATGTGCTCCTAATTGCCAAAGTGAGCTGAGCGGCCTCCATGCTTGCCTTGGTATGGCGTCCGCACAGAAAAAAGGCGCGGAACGATTGTCTGCCGTTGCTCTGACGGAGGGAGGGGCGACTGACGACACGGCTTACAGGGTTGGCTTCAGGGAGCTAAAATCAACAAAGGGGGTGCCTGTACATCAAGGAGTATTTCAGACAGGACTTCACGGAGGGTTCCAATAAGAAATGGTGCACCTAAGTTATCGTTCTTATTGGAACAAGGAGGTTAGCCTGGCCTCTGATTGATACATGGCTAGATTTACCTCGCTGCACCTTCTCTGTGAGTGACTGCAGTGTGACCTAGAGGAATGAGTCCCCTAGACAGGGGAGGAGGCAAATGAGTACAAAACAAATCTGGTCTATTTCTTGTATTGACCCACTCCATCTATCTTTTACATCTTTGGCTGGCAGCAGACGGTGCAGAAGGACTGCATGCCATCCACATCTCATGGCTGCTCGGCAGAAGATGGTACAGTACGACTGCTAGCAGTCCGTATCGCCTGCCCGCTCACCATAAGATGGTTCAATAGGACTGACTGCAGGACTAAAGAGAATGACCTGGTCAAGTCACTCCAAATTTAGTCCCTGCGCCCATGTCTGCCCAGGCGCTCCCAGCCGACGTGGCCAGGAGCACCTCGGACATGACGATGACGGCTACCAGTCGTACTGTACCGTCTGCTGCCACAAGGCAAGGGGCTGCTGCTACTGTGTAGCAATGCCGTACCGCGTCTGCCAGCACCCAGGAGACATAGGGTGACGGTTACCTGAGCGGGCTCCATGCTTGCCGTGGTATGGCGTCTGCACAGGTAACTCAGGAAAAAAGGCGCGAAACGATTGTCTGCCCTTGCTTTCACGGAGGGAGGGAGGGAACGGGGGGCCTGACGATATGTACCCAGAACCACCCGCGACAATGTTTTAGCCCCATCAGGCATTGGGATCTCAACCCAGAATTCCAATGGGCAGCGGAGACTGCAGGAACTGTGGGATAGCTACCCACAGTGCAACGCTCCGGAAGTCGACTCTAGCCTCGGTACTGTGGAAGCGCTCCGCCGAGTTAATGCACTTAATGCACTTAGAGCATTTTCTGTGGGGACACACACACACTCGAATATATAAAACCGATTTCTAAAAAACCGACTTCTATAAATTTGACCTTATTCCGTAGTGTAGACATGTAACTTTAAAAATATTGGTTTCTGTCCTGTGGGTAAAAAAAAACAACTGTTCTATGCTGTGAAAGCCCCATAGATGTGTTTTTATTACATCCTGCCCTTGGCAACTACTGTAGATGAAGTGAGTGACAACATATTAAAGAAGAATACACAGAACGGATCAGTGCATTCAGTTTTGGTCATATCACCTTCAAAAAAAAATTCCAAAGAGATTAATAAGGTCCACACATGGGCAAAGAGGGCTAGAGGTATGGCAGGACCTGTATGACAGGACTGCAGACATTAATATTATTTAGCTTAGAAGAGAAGCAGGTTAGAAAAGACTTGATTGTATGAGTAAGCTGCTCTGTTCTTCCTTTTTTAACCTTATCCAGTCAAAGGAAGTTCTTAAAATTAAATGACAAGAAAGTTAGAATAAAAAGGAAGTCACTTTGCCCAGCTTCTTGGTGGCCTGTGGAATTCACTGCCTGTGGTAAGTCAAATACTACATAGAATCATAGAATATAAGGGTTACTACATTTATAGTAGTAAGTAGCATCTGACTTTTATAACAAGTAACTAGCACTTGTATTTATTCAGCCTTCCCTACTAACACTATTCTGCTGATGAGGCCAGGCTCATTAGTGAAGGAAGTTAACTTTCCACCTTGGCCCTCATCTACAGGAGGATCTTCTGAGCTCATCTGCACAACCTCCACCTTCTTTTCAATCATGCAACCACTTTGTTGAGCAACATACTAACTGAGACGGACATGCTCGAAGAGTAATATGGAATAAAAATAGATGTAACGTATATCAAAGAAAAAAGAAGTGCTCGTTTGTTGTTGCCCTTGCCCCTACATACTGGGCCATTCGACTGAGAACATCTCAAGGCACAAAACATCACAAGAGTTGTTTAGGAAGGGTTCCTAACACACTGCAGTACAGTTTTTAAAATGCTGGAAGTGCCTTTATTTATTCATTACATCTAGTCATAAGCCACTCACCTGCTGGTTATCAGGAAAGAATTACTGCTGTACACGCTATGCAGCACAACTAGTCAGATGTATTTGGGTTAAAGTGTGTGCTCATCTTCCTCTGAAGCACCAGGAATTGGCAGGATGATGAACCAAGTATAGTCAAAAATCTATATGTCAAATCCTATATTTCAAAACGTCTAGAGCTTTGAAGAATTTATTACTCACTTCCAACAAAAAGGGGGCAGAAACACAACATTTATGTTTAAAGAAAAATTACTTTAAAAAACAAGAGTTCTATGTCAGAAAAAAGGTCCAAACTCTGTACTCTAAATATTTAAGTTCAGAAGTACTACTTTCACATATACTCAGTGCTTTGCAGAATAGCATCAATGTACAAGTACTGGGGGGAGGAGGGGACTTTGCTATACTACATACAGAGTGTGAACCACCACATTCATAAGAAATGTTTCTCTTTATATTTTCCACATTTTAAATGAATTATCTGTCTTATTGAGTATCAGCCCATCTTTCTAAAAAGGTTACTTTTCCTCCACAGCTTTTTTATAAAACAAATTTAAATGCAAGAAACTGCAGACATTATCTTCTCATAAATATACAATGTAACAAAAGCTTAAACAGAGTGGGGGAAATAAAGTGTTTCAGCTCAGCTTTTGCCTTCCAGCATTTCTGAAGCACACTAAGCACTAACTGAAAGAAAGCAAAATCAATGTTGTATAGACAAAACATACAGGAGAAGTGAAATTCACCAATGGGATTAGCACGCTGTCTAACCTGTGTCAAGTGAGACAGTGGTTTCATGAAGCAAATATGCAGAACAGTATCATGCTCTCAAAAACCAAAGAAGATAGTGACATTAACAGTCAGTATTTGTAAGCCTCATTGACTTTCAAGTTTAGTAAAGTTCAGAAAATAGCTTTAATGTGTAGAAAGGAAGAATGGTCTTGTGGTTAAGCCTTGGAAGATTCCCAGCTCTCTCTGATTTTTCTAGATGAGCTTAGGAAAGTCAGTCTCCATGCATTCATTTCTCCATGCATAAAATTAAGATAGACAAAAGGACATGCGAAGAAATACTATGTAGACAGTAAGCTCTTTGAGGAAGGGACTGACTTAAGTGTATGTTCAATGCCTACCACAAAGGAGGCTCTATGTGTTACTGCAGAGGTCCTCAAACTGTGGGGCACACCTCCCTAGGTAGGCACTGAGGAACATTTAGAGGTGCACAGTGGGGCCCGAGCCAGTCCCCCTCCAGGGAGCAGGGAGGGAGACCATCCAACCCCGCTCCACTCTCAGCTCTGATTCAGCCTCGCCCCCTGGCACAGACAGGGGTAAGGGGGGGGGCACATCCCTGAAAAATCTGAGGACTACTGTGCTACTGTAATACAGATTCACTCAAACCATATGAAGATGTGAAAAATTTCAGCCTCTTATGTGCACCTCCATTTCAAATAAAGGAGAATGGATTGATGACTAGATGG